CTTACGAGGGTTGGTTGTGTGGTCATGAAGCCCATATCTGAATTCTGCATCACACTACTCCTGCATCGTATACTTGAACTATTGATGCCCTTCCACCTTCCCGTGCCTTGCACGCCCCCAATCCTGCTTCTTTTCATTTCCTCATGACCGACCAACCCTGCGGCCTGCTTGCGTGCACCCCATTCCCTTCCTCCAACGACGCGTGATTACGGCACCGACAACTCCAAATCCACAGCGGGAAGGATACCTTAATAATAATACTATCATGGAATTGTAGGGGAAATGTTCCGCTTACCCGGGATGGTGCATGGGGGTAGGTAATTGAACCTTTAGGAGCACTGCGAGATTCATTCCGAATCGCTCGTTGGCGGGAAGCTTGACGCACTTGGCGAGTTATAGACCGGTGACTTCATGGTAGAGGGAAGAGTGAGAAACAAGGAGGGTAGCCAGAGACTGTGGTGTTTCTCGGGACTGTAAGGGGAGGGAGGGGACTGGGGGTGGGTGTCTCTCGGGCACTAGCCGTCTTATAGATCCGCACATCATTTTCGATATCGGATCAGATTTTGGCTAGAGACGGGCATTAAGGCTTGGGGCTTGTGGCAGCACACATGACACCATATCCGGAAGGAGCGGGAGTGGTGGACAAAATAGTGTGTGTAGAAGGGACTGGGCTCATGGTACGGTAGCCGAGGGTAAAAGCGAACTAGCGTGAGAGGAGGGGAAAAAAAGGGAAAAAAAGAGAAAAGAAAATTCATTTCGCCCGGGCCCGAACCGGGGACCACCAGTGTGTTGGACTGGTGTGATAACAAGCTACACCACGAAACTATACGACACGCTTAACCCTAACCCCTAATGATACCTACAATTTTGCTGTCCTCCCTCTCCTCTCTTCCTCACTCACAGGGGAATTTGATCCAATACTTTCCTGGATACTACTAGTCTCGCCTTTATCAGAGGAATAAACCACCGCACGTTCATCAACATCACCCTATCATCTCACACACCCTCCGCTCGCCAATGACTCCCCAGTGCCAGCCCGGACATGCCCCGCTCAAAAGTGGTAATTGGCCTGTGCTCCGGCAACGTTCGCAAAACTCCGCCTGATTTTGCGAGTGCGCCATCTGAGATCTTAGTAAAGGCATGTGCTAGATGAAGTGGGACACCGGCATCGTTGGTTATTTAGTTAGAGATCTGTTTGACAGCAACCGCGAGGAGAGGCCAGTCATCCGGAAGAAGTTCACGGGGATGCGGACCTCTGCATGTGATGCAACAAGGCATTTGATATTGGCGAAAGCGACCGCCTCCCTGGGGGCCCGGGGCTCCCATGATGCGAAGATGGCATGGCAGTGTCATTCTAAGTAGCTTGAGTGGCTTGCTTCGGGGCGGTTGGGCAAACCGATGGGAGGGCCGCTGTGCTCAGAAATGGTTCCAGCCCCAGCCGTAAAACCAGCACTACGAGAACGGGGGAGGCGGTAGAGGAAGGTCCAGGGGTGATCAAATTATGATTAGGATTCTGTGCGATTCCGCTCGGGGCGGGGGTAGGGGAGAGAAGAAGTGGGGTGGAATAGACACCAGGAAGGGCCCGGGGGCTATTGGTATGCGGAGGACATGTATGAGTTTACTGGCTGCTGCGGAGGAAGAACGTATGTACTCCTGCCTACATTCTAGGGGTGGATCTGACTTTTCTGATAAGGAAGGCTGAGTGCTAGCTATATCATTCGCTCCCTCCTGCCCTCGATATCGATTACCCTGTCTACTAGCATCCCTAAAGCAAATCGCCTACAAAAAATAGACGGTCGGGTGTGCGCCATTCTACAGATTTTGACATACCGTTACATAACTACGCCAAATTCTTAGGATACAGAAGTGGACGCCCACGATCCACATCATGTTCAAAGAATGGAGATGATCGTCTCTCCAATTACTTCTACACCGGAGACTCAACGTGTCGTTAGGACAATTCTGCGCAGGGAATATGAGTCGATAGTCAAGGAGGCAGAGGAAGGTAATAAGCAAGTGCAAAAGTATCTTGTTGCTACGGATTTGAGTGGGGAGGCCCAGCATGCTCCGGAGTGGAAAATTGGAACGGTTCTGGGAGATGGGGATACTCTGATGGCCATATAATGCCATCGATCGGGATATGGTGGAAGATGGCGACAAGATTGTTCCGGATGGCAAGATAGCGGGAGAATTGAGTAGCAATGCTGCCGCCATGAGGACCAGCCTTGCGGCTATGAACATGCCTCATATGCCCGGAACACGCTCTCCGATATCCAACATTGGTGATATTTCGGAGAGGACTAGCGAGCGCAAGGAGGGAGAGCGGAAGAGGTTCATTGCAGTAGAGGCAATCACTAGGCTGGTGGAAAAGCTTTTAGGGGAGTCGAGGCGTCAGGTCAGGCCGCTGTAGGGGTGATTCACTACGGGAGTCCGAAACGTCTTCTCACTGAAATCCTGAGTTTGTAATTCATTTCTCGATATATGATTGTCCGGCTAATATGATTTAGATCAACTTCATGGACCCTACACTTATGGTCCTTGGTTCCCATGGTAGAATTGCACTAGAGGGGTGGGCACCTTGAATTACACTCTGTTCGTATTACATCATAAACTAACTCGTCACTTAGCGTCCTTCTAGGATCCTTCTCGAATTACCAGGTCACTGAATCCTCTCTCCCTGTCATGGTTTCCCAGAAAAAGCTCAAAAATGCTAAAAGGTTTGCTAAGACCAACGTCCTGCAGCCCAATAACCTCATGGCAAGCGCTCAGGCAGGCCGCCTCACTGATGCAAAGGTGGACAAACTACTATCCCAACTCGCCGGAGGGTGAGCGGTGGGAGGTCCGAGTTTGGGACAATGGAGTGTTCTCAATGTATTTTTTCTTTCTGTTTCTCTTCCCTTTCTCCACGTCAGATATCATCATCATAATAGAGGATAAGCAGTCACAAGCTCTCACTCGTGTGAATAAATTATGCTATTAACTGTATTAATTACCAGTCTCACTCTCTCTTGCTTTTCCTTCATCTGGTTGAAGGGTTCCCAAGCCGTATGAATTCACGAGCAGCCGATTGGAGCCAATGAAATAGATGGCGGTGTGAATGAAGAAGGAAAAAAAAGAGTGCTAGAAATGAGAAAAAGAGAATGATTTCGGCCGGGCTCATACTGGAGACCACAAGTGTGTTGGACTGATGTAGTAACCAATTACGCCACGAAAGGGCATCACCATTGTATTTCAGCATTCTTTCAGCAGAATGTTGTCCACGTTACATATCATCCTGGAGGACGCAAGTGGAGCGGGGCTGATTTCAGACGCCGTTAGACGTTGTGCTGTGATTCTATGCAAAGCCGAGCAGGGGTTGATGGTTTTGGGTTCGTGGAAGCAAAGGTTTCCTATCTCCTTTGGGGTTCGTGTTCAACCTCTTTTCACTGTTACCTCCTTGCATTTTATCAACTACACAACTCCCATGTCAGTCCATACATTCCTTTCCTCCACCTCACCGCAAACATCCTTTTTATTTCCTTCAAGGCATATCCTCCTTTCATTCCTGTTTTCCCCCAGCTAGTGAACAAAATGATTGATTGACCGACATCGGCACTCAAACATGCCACCCCCTGACCGCTCCGCATTGCGTAATACTTTTATCTATGCTTCCAAGTAGTAATGGCCACGAGCATGATCGAGCAGATCATTGAGGTCATGCTCGACTATGATCTGATCGAGAGGAAGCCATGATCGAATGATCAATCGGCGGATGGATTATGATCGAGTGATCGATCGTGATGGTTGCTCGAGTATGATCGAAGATGCTCTAGTGTGATCGAGTATGATCGCAGATGCTCGTTTATGATCGAAGATGCTCACTTATCATCAACTGCACGTGGTGGGTGTTCCTATCTTCCATATACGATATTCAATATTGTCTACTGTGTTTCTGTGTACCAATAGCGTTGCCCCTAAGATTCGGGTTCCCGAAAACTAATCCATACAAATAGTAGCCTCCTGGTCCTCACTTTCGGCAGCACTCTCTCCATCTGCCTCATAAGCCCCCTCCTCCCCAAGCAATCCCCCCGCAAATTCCTCTGTCTCATACTGTACTAATCTGAGCCATGCTTTACTGAGCATGAGAAGCCGAACAGTGTTTGCGTCCAGGGGGTTTCTCTTTTTTATAACTATGTCCCCGGGCACGGAAAATGCTTGTTCAGATGGAACGCTGTATAGTATAATATTGTTAATATAAGGACCAAGGGATCTATATGTAGCAGAGTGATCGATCATGATCGTGTTTGGTCCAGCGTAGTCGAGTATGATCGACTCTGATACAGCAGATCACGCACATTATGCTCGAGCAGATCGTGATCGAGGTACCTCTATGATCGTAGTGATCGAGAAAGCCATCGTCGACGAAAACTCGATCATGATCTGATCGTGGCCATCACTAGAGAGGAATCTCGCAATGGTTAGGGCGCACGAGGAGAAGAGGGAAAGGGGGCTGCAGGAGAAGGCAATGGCGGGGAAGGGGACCGGGGAGATGCCCGGAGAAACGATTGGGATGTGTAGGGAGAGGGGGGAATGACGCAGCCGGGGGCGCAAACACGGAAAAAGGAGTTGGAGAAGTCAAGAGGGGGCGCGGGTGTAATCACAGTTTTGCTGTTGCAATGTAACCATATTTTCATATCTGGAGCGTGGGCCGCCGTTCGGTGGGGTGTATGTATGGGGCTTATCGCTTTTTGTGAATTCTTTACCTAGCTCCAAAAGTGTTATCCGCAACAACTATTGGTGGGATTGTTGATATATGGTTTATTTCTCCTCTCAAATGCTACTTCAGTCGCTTGTGTTTTTATTCTCAATCCGTGTACTAGTTCGGACATCTTCATTATTCCTTTATTATTCCTTTTGTTCCTGTATACTTTCTTTGAATACCTTTGTTCCTTGTTGTGGAATCCCGATGGTAGAAGCTTGTCTGAACTGCTTTGTTGTATAGCTGGTCTATGGTCTATATCTTTCCTATCATTCTAGTTGATGCTGTATGCGGTATTAATAATCTCAATCGTGTGATCTTCTAAAAGTACTTCCCGTTCATATTGCAACAGGGATTGTTCGAAAAGGTCGAGTGATTGTTCGTGAAACAGGGCCACCACCGCGCCACCCCGCCACCCCAGAACCCACCAACCTCTTCTATCACCCGCCCAGTAGTTGTGAGAGCGGGGGGATATATGCCGGTGCATTGGTGGTACCGGTGCTCCGGGGGAGTGCGCGGGCAAGTCCAGTGGACGGGCCGGCTGGAGTCTGGAGATGGTGGCAATCTTCCGGTAGGGGTTGGAATGTTGTCGTGGGCTTCTCTCTTCTGGAGTATTCTGTAATATTATTAAATTTTTGACGGGTTTTCCATATATTCCTGCGCTTGGTGGACACGAGCCCGCTGTCGTCCACTCAGCGGGAGCTGGCCCGGGGCCTTTGTGATGCGTGGCTTGGATGTTGAAAAGAGCCGCGCTTGGCGCGGAGGTATCATACCCGCACTCTTATGGCCGTGGTGGTATACGTATGCGCTAGCGAAGACGTGCAAGCCTTTCTCTTTGCTCCTGTTTCTTCTTGTTCCTCTTAGCCAAGACTTTTCCATCTTTCCTTCCACTCTTACCTTCTCACCTTTCTCTTCTCTCTATATGCACATACAACGAAAAGCGACCTCGGAACATTCACCTGTGCCACTCCACTCCGCTACGTAAAACCCTCTTCACTTATCATTACCTCCGTATCGAATATTTTCAACATTGAAAAATAAGTGTTGGTCGAGTGATGTATTGTGATCTTGTTGAATATGGTTAATAACGAATGGAAGGGGTGGTGCCGGTAAGAGATACTGTGCCCTCCTATAGGGTATCCAAATCCATTGCTGAATGAACACGATGAATGGAGGACTATCCGCCAGCTTCCGAACGTTTTCCTGGACCTCAAATGTTATCTTAGGTAGTGGGAATAGTTCACTGTAAGCTTTGTCAACCTGCTATAAGGCCTCCGATCCCAAGGTTCGGATCTCGTCTATACTTTCTGCTGGGTTTTGACTCACGTGATTGCCTTTGGGCTCTGGGGGAACGTACGGGGTTTCCGGGGGTGAGCAAAGGTAGAGCAGCAGTGCTAGGAGGGGGCGTGTGCAGCTCAGCCCCCACGAATAGTGGCTGCTTTGGGTTTAGTACCGTATCTTGTCCACCACTCCCGCTCCTTCCGGATGTGGTGCCATGTGTGCTGCCACAAGCCCCAAGCCTTAATGCCCGTCTCTAGCCAAAATCTGATCCGATATCGAAAATGATGTGCGGATCTATACGACGGCTGGCACCCGAGAGACTCCCACCCCCACCCCCCTCCCTCCCCTTACAGTCCCGGCAAACACCACAGTCTCTGGCTACCCTCCTTGTTTCTCACTCTTCCCTCTACCATGAAGTCACCGGTCTATAACTCGCCAAGTGCGTCAAGCTTGCCGCCAACGAGCGATTCCGAATGAATCTCGCAGCGCTCCTAAAGGTTCAATTACCTACCCCCATGCACCATACCGGGTAAGCGGAACATTTCCCCTACAATTCCATGATAGTATTATTATTAAGTTATCCTTCCCGCTGTGGATTTGGAGTTGTCGGTGCCGTAATCATGCGTCGTTGGGGGAAGGGAATGGGGTGCACGCAAGCAGGCCGCAGGGTTGGTCGGTCATGAGGAAATGAAAAGAAACAGGATTGGGGGCGTGCAAGGCACGGGAAGGTGGAAGGGCATCAATAGTTCAAGTATATGATGGAGGAGTAGTGTGATGCAGAATTCAGATATGGGCTTCATGACCACACAACCAACCCTGGTAAA